ACCTGCCACCTTAGGTGTATGTGGCTGGCGCCTTACCCACTTGAGCCACAGGTGCCAAACCTGTAATTTTTTAATGGATGCCAGCCATTGTGATTTTTTACCTAGTTGGGTACTAAGTTTTTCCCATAAATGTTGTTATGGCCGGTTGCGTTGGCTCACGCCTGTCATCTTAGCATTCTGGGAGGCCGAGGCGGGTGAGTCAACTGAGCTCATGAGTTTGAGACTGGCCTGAGCTAGAGCAAGATCTTGTCTCTAAAAAAAAAAAATAGCCAGGCATTGTGGCAGGTGCCTGTAGTCCCAGCTACTCAGAGGCTCAGACAAGAGTCTGAGGTTGCTGTGCGTTAGGACACCATGATACCATGGCACTCTACCAAGGTGACAAAGTGAGACTTTGTTTAAAAAAAAAAGTCCTTACATTTTATACTGGGGATAGTTTGATTTTCTTTCTTTTTTTTTTTTTGCAGTTTTTGGCCAGTGCTGGGTTTGAACTCACCACTTCTGGAATATGGGGCCTGCGCCCTATTCCTTTGAGGCACAGGCGCCACCCTCAGTTTGATCTTCTTAGGACAAGAGCTTTTTGAGCTTTCTCAATGTAGAACCAAAGTAGCTTTTCGATTAAGGATGACTTTTTCCCCAACGCAGAGGCAGTACCCTCCACGTCATCTCTCTCTGTCCTGAAGAATTTTAGCTCTGGCTCATGGGAACACACATAGCCTATGTGAGCTTTGAGAATTGTTCCACTACTCCTTTCCTGTGGTCCTTCCCCTAGTCTGCGGGGGGCGGGTTCTTTAATCACATGTTTGGTGTTCATTGGGACTCAGCTCAATGAATATGCCGTTTGATCTTCAAAGCTCATTCACCATCACTGGCTCCTAACCATCCTGCCCTCTCTAAAGTCTCACTCAGGAGATGCCAGACTCTGTCAGGGTTTCCCCTGAGCTGCAGTGTGGCCTACACGTCCTCTCCGGGCAGGAAGTTCGGGTGATCATAGGGCTCACCTTGTTTTCTTCTTCTGAGGACCAGTGTCTACACTGTCTGTTGTTGTCCAGTGCCTGAAAAAAATTGTTTTACATAATTTGTCAATTTTTTTTTAGTTATTTAATGTGGGAGGGTAAATCTGGACTGTATTGGTTACTGTATCTTGGCTGTCAGAGATAGTAATTGGGTAAGAGGACAGAAATCTAAACAGAAAGGAAGTAAGAGTTGGTGGGAAAGGTTGTTAAACCTTCTTCCAAACATAAATAAGAAATATAAAATATTAGCAAATATTGTAAATTTAACTTCATGCTCTGAAAGGCTGGGACATAATTATTTAATGTTATTTAGTAATATAACATTTAGGAATGTTTTCACTATTAGCCCTAGAGTGGTTCATAGTTGATAATTTAATTTGATGCTGCTCAACCTTCCTTTTCGTTTTAATGTGTTTACTCCTGTGTTACTGTATCAGCAGACTGCTGGTAAACACTGTTACAGGTTGTAGGGTAACACAAGGTTTGTATATACAGACCTGTAGGTTTATTGATGTTTTACAAACGACAAAAAAATGAACTTTACAGTGTATTTCTGAATAGAAGACTTTGGAACTGTTTCATTTTAGCCTAGTCAGTTCCTTAGCTATTTCCCAAATAGTGTTCTCCAATCCCAAGATGTACTAAGGGCAAGAAAAGCCCTATTACTAAAAATGTACAACCAAAAGAAGATCTAGAAATACTGACTGGGACTTGAGATCTTTGTTTGGAAGTTCCTCACTTTACTTGAACGGAGCACTGTGAACTCAGTAAAGTTTACATTCTACCTCGGGACACTGGCGACTGGGCTCAGGGTCAGGTGAGGGGTTGTGCCTGGAGTGGCAGAAGCAAGGGTCTCGCTAAATACCTTGCAAGACAGGACAGTCTCCTGCAACAAAGAATTGTCTAGTTCTCAGTGTCAGTAGTGCCAGGGTTGGGAAACCCTCATGTAAAGAGCCTATGCTGTATAACGCCAGGGTGTCAGATTTCATTTCTGTTACCAGCAGGGCTGGTGTTACTGGGAAAAATGAAGCTTTCCATTTGCAGTTTCTTTTTGCTTCCTGTCCTACCCTAAGGGTATATTTCATTAAAACAATGATAAAAATGCTTCAAAGTTGAATAACTTAAATTTTCCCCCTTTTATTTATCTACAAAAAGTGAGATGGGAGAGAGGGGACAAGCAGCAAAGGTCGTGGAGAACCAAACTTCCATTTGTTTGTAGGTGTCAATTTTCACAAAATGTTTATTTGGAAAAAAATGTTTATTTGATAGAGAAATTTCCAATGTTCAAATTAACTTCAATTATGAAAACTCATTTAGGTATTTGAAAACATACTCTTCCCTGGTAAACTTGTAAAGATGTGTCATTTATGTTATCTTTTAATCATTTTTATTTGTTTATCCTTTGAAATCTTTGTAGCCATTGGAAGTGGGGTTTTTTTGTTTTGTTTTGTTTTGTTATTGAGACAGGGTCTTACCTTGTTGCCCTGGCTAGAGTTCCCTGATGTTATCACAGCTCACTGCAAACCTTGCAAACCTTACAGGCTCAAGTGATCTTCCCATCTCAGCCTTCCAAGTGGCTGCCTCAGCCTCCTATGTAGCTGGGACTATTGGTGTGAGTCACCACACTTGGCTAATTCTTCCATTTTTTAAATAGAGATAGGATCTGGCCTCAGGCATTCCTCCCGCTGTGGCCTCCCAAAGTGCTGGGATTACAGACAGGAGCCAGTTCACCTGACTGGAAGGATCTTTAAATTAATTTTGTGTGTCACTTTTTCTACAGGTGTTACAGCCTTTTGAAAACCTTGAGAAACAGGAAAAAATTTCTAACAGAATGTCGTCATCTTTTCGAAATTATTGTCCACATTTGGATTCTGTTGGTGAAATAACAAAAGAAGATTTGATCCAAAAATCTCATGTAAGATATGGATTTTTTTTTCTTTTCTTTTTTTTTTTTTTTTTGAGACAGAGC